TGCCCACAGGACATCCTCCCTGTCTATACCTACAGCCCATGTACAGTCTGTGTCTGTGTGTATGACCCTGAGGAACTCACCACCTCCACTGATGAGTAGGACCCTGTAGTTGATACTGTCCCCTATGATCAGGTTCCCCACACTGTCATACACCACACCGACGGGGGTAAATGGGCTATCTCCTGTTTGTGGTGTTGGTCTATACGTACTGGGGATGTCACCTCTATATACAAACAGCTCCATGAAATCAGTGTCCATCACAACAACATGTCGGTTTCCATCACCACCATCACTTACAAGACTGAAATCAACGACTGCCACATTGTGAGTGACAGGACACTCTGAGATCCTGCGTGGTATACACACTATTGGTTTCCCAGTCCCTTTAGCCATAGTAGTACACACCATTTTACCATCTGTGGTAAATTTGGAGATGTGTTTGGTCATCCCTACAATGACATGGTTACTGGCTGTAACACATATACACAAGGGATCCTCCTTGGTACTGAATCTGTGTGTCAGTCGTCCTGATACCAGCTCCATGATGTTGTTATAATCACAGACCCACAGTGTGTGTGTGGTGGGTGACAGACTGATGTCATAGATATTGACATTGTGTTTGACCAGCTGTATTACTTTACCCTTCCTGTCCAGGAGAGTTAATGTGTCACTGACCTTGGTCCACACCTGACCATCAGTGGTGGGACATATAGAACCAATGACACATGGAGGCTTCCACTCCTTCACTACCTTGGTCTGTGGCAGTAGTTTGTATGTTGTCACTGCTTTCTTACCTTTTGTTCCTGACTGTTGTTGTTGTGTAGAGGGTTGTCCCCGATCATCAGATGTTGAGACTGACCGATCCTGGTCAGTTAAAGTTTGACCTTGACCTGAGGTGATAACTTTTCCCAAGGCTTTTTTCAAGTGATCTTGAGGTTTTTCATTTGGAGTGAAGTTGGCAGTACCCAGGACAGGTGTTACAGGGAGACTGGGTGTAGGAGAATGGATCTCACAATATGTATCATAAATCTGTATGTGCGAACCACACTGGAGAGCTGCTTTACATTCTTGAATTTGTTTTTTGAGTTGTTTCTCGTACATCTCAAGGTCCTGTTTGTATGTCTTTATCAGCTTGGTATTATCCTCTTCCATTTTTTGGTAAAGAGAGAGTGTCTGTGCTGTAAGCATGTCCAGCTGGTGTTTTAATTTATCTGTTTGCATCTTTAACTTTTGTGACAACTTCTCAAAAGTACTGGCGTTGTCTTTAAGGAGCGTATCAGTAGTGGTGATGTATTTTCCAATTTGTACAAGGTCACTTTTTTCTGTTCTGTCTATAAAGTTTTTAATGTCTGGTTCTTTCTGGGGAATGATTTCACTTAGCTCACAAACTGTATGAGTTTTGTGAATAGAAGAAAGGCATTTTGGACAAACCGGTTCCTGACACTTTTCACAGTAAAAATCCAATTGTCTCCCCTTGTGGTGAATACAGGTCGTTTGACCTTTAATACGGAGTGGAAATTGGCTTTTAGGGGTTGCCATTATGATTAAAAGCTAAAATATTTGTTGAAGCCTTGAAGATGTTTGTCGTTCTTGTATAAAGATATTGTTATCAGTAAACACTCACAAATAAGAGTTTGTTATGTAAAGAAATGAAAATTTCACTTATAACTGTCCCATCCAGTAGTATATGTTTGTTAAACTTATAGCAATGTAAAAACACTGTAGAATAACTACCTCACGATCACTGATGTCACAGGGTTACTGTGATGATGAATCCAAGTTTTCCATTCCACACTTCAGAAGGTATACATTGTCCGTATTTATCCAGCCATGGAATTCACAATCACATGATGAACTTCCCTATAGCTTTGCTGATAAATCTGTCACTTTCCTGCTGACATTGTAAAAGTTTGATCAAAACTTCAAGTCAAAAGTTCGGCTAAATTTGACAATGCTGCTGACTATAGTTAGTAGTATCAACAAATTTCTGCTATGGATACGCCCTTCACTGCAGCAATGCATAGATCTACCTGTGTAGACCTGCAGGTGTACAGACTAAATAACTTCCCTGATGAGCGAGGTAACCGACAGACATACAGTGATAATAAAGCAATAGACGGTGTAGTAGGTCAGTGGAGGTTGTGTTTATAAACCGTAGCATTTACATACCTGGTGTGTATTGTCTAAAATGTATGCGTGTTCAGTAATGTGATACCTGTACCTAAGGTAGATATACCTGTGTTTTGGGTTATAAGAAATAACTATAATTATGGTTCGATACACCTGTGTGTTTTGTGACAAGACTATAAGACTCTTTCATGCACAGGGGTGTAGGATAGGAAAATTTACCTGAGGGGTTTTCAAATTTGGTAAAACCTGAGGCTATGCCGAGGGTTTTGCCAAATTTGAAAATCCCAAAAGTGGAATTTCCCTATCCTACACCCTTGGGCATGGAAGAGTATTTTTCTCTCATTCCAACAACAGAAAAAAGATCAGAAACCATGAAATTGCGTCTGTACTGGCCACCATTTTGAAAATATCAAGTTTTCCCCTGAGCGTTTTAACGTGTACGGTAAATATATCGCAAAAGGTTTAATTTCATCACGTCGCCTTTTCCGCATTGCGGCATCAGAGAGTTCAAAATTTGTAACGTCATGTCATTGTTGAGCTATTGTGACGTCACGTCACATGAAATGGGGTGTAAGATAGATATTTCCTACACCCTTTTTTTAACGTGGACAGCTCTATCTTACACACAGGGAAATGAGAAATTCCTGTACTGTAGGTAGATATACCTGTATATTCAGTAATAAGACATACATGAACTTTAGGTAGATATACCTGTGTATTGGGTAATAAGACATACCTGTAACGTAGGTAGATATACCTGTATATTCAGTAATAAGACATACATGTACTGTAGGTAGCTATACCTGTGTATTGGGTAATAAGACATCCCTGTACTGTAGGTAGATATACCAGTATATTCAGTAATAAGACATACATGTACTGTAGGTAGCTATACCTGTGTATTGGGTAATAAGACATGCCTGTACTGTAGGTAGATATACCTGTGTATTGGGTAATAAGACATACCTGTACTTTATGTATATATATAGCTGGGTATTGTGTAATAAGACATACCTGTAATGTAGGTAGATATACCTGTATATTCATTAATAAGACATACCTGTACTGGAGGTAGATATACCTGTATATTCCTTTAAAATGTTACTAGTCCTCAGAGGATTTTGAACAAATTTGGTCTCTGGAGTATCATGGCCAAAGGGTTCTCAGTTTTGTATAAACGGAGGGTATGGTCCCCCTGGAGGCAGAGGGGCGGGGCCAAATAGGGGGAAAATAGGTAAATCTTTAAAAATCTTCTTCTCAACAAATAGAAGGATTTTGACCAAATTTGTTCTTCAGCATCTTTTGACATAGGAGCCTCAAGTTTGTATAAATGGAGGGTGTGGTCTCTCTGGGGGCAGAGCCCTATAGGGGAAATAGAGGTAAAACCTTTAAAATCCTTCTTCTACCAAAGGGATTAAGGGATTTTATCATTATTTAGTCTGGAGCATCATTGGTCTAAGGGCACTCAATTTTGTATAAACGGTGGATGTGGCAGAGGGGCGAGGCCCAAAAGGGGAATTAGAGGTTAACAATTAAAATTCTTCTTCTACTATAGGGACTAAGGGATTTCATCCAAATTTGGTCTGGAACATCCTTAGGCCAAGGGCACTCAATTTTGTATAAACGGTGGATGTGGCAGAGGGGCGGGGCCCAAAAGGGGAAATAGAGGTCAAACCTTTGAAATCCTTCAGCTATCAGCATCAATTTTGTCTCGATCAAGTTGTCTAGTAGTGCATGTTACTGTGAGGGTGTATTCATTAAAACAAGATGGCCATCAGGCCGCCATCTTTGATTTTGACAAATGAAGTTTGTTCCGGCTATATCTCCAGAAATACTGGATGGATCTTTCTGAAATTTCGTATGTACATACAGTACCTACTATGGCGTGCTATATCTTTACCTCGTATCAAATACTTTGAACATATCCAGGTGAGCGATACAGGACCTCTGGACCCCTTGTTTAAGAGTTAAAAGAGTTTTCTGTCGTGATATAGTTGTGTAAAAAAAAAAAATATATATAAACAAAAAACGGAACAAGGAAATGTCACAGACCTTAGTATCACATAAGGCCTCCAAGTAAACCTGGTCACACATGTTTGAATCCTGGTTTGTTGCGGTTTCTGTCAGGATTTGTCGCCATATGCACAGTGTCATGAAACAGACCACTAGATCTGTCGAATTACGGCAAAGTCCTGACTTTTTTTCCTGATATAACACTACTGATATCCATTTATGAGCCAAACTTTCACGAGTCAAATTTCTCCACAGTTTTGAACTACAATCAAGATCCTGTCGTTAGGAAAACATTGAAAATTACAACGAATAAATCAAAATACAATGTAAATTAAGTACCTGGGTGTACAAGATCATTGAAAGCATCTCAAAGATGTTCAATGTTCAACAATCGTGAGTCAAAGTTTCAATGTTTGTAAATTTTCATGGTAAGGACGCCAAGTTTGAAATATCAGAGTTGGACTGGGCATTTTGAAACAAATGTGGATGTTTTATTTTTATTTTTCTAGCAACCACTGTCATCAACTAACTTCCTGTATGAATTAGACAAAATTACCCAGGATGCTGTTGGTGTAAGTATTAGACAAAATTACCCAGGATGCTGTTGGTGTAAGTATTACACAAAATTACCCAGAATGCTGTTGGCGTAATCTCTAGACAAAATTACCCAGGATCAAATGTTGTAGAGATAACCAGCTGAGGCGTTGTTGGAGGTCTCTCTGTTGTAAAGATTAATAAAAATGTTCAGTTTTGATTGTATGATCATAAACATCGTAAAAATGTTCCGTATTTCCAAATCAGACAAATTTGCGAACATCTTTTTAATTACCAATTCACAGTATGACCGGTGAATTGACCATTTGGACCTTGTGTTACTTAGAACTTAATAATCCTTCCTATCACTCTGAGGAATATTAACGGCGTGTTGTGTTTTGCTTTCAGAAAGGTTTGACGTTCTTCACAATGCTTTCTTGTTTTATAAATATAAAAAGATAATGAGAATTTGTGGAGTATTTTTAGAACTTAAGTCTCCTTACTAAAACTTTCTGTGATGTAGGTAATCATGGCCGGCCAGAAAACTTGTGTTCCGGGGGATGAAATTTCTATACCTGGTGCAAAGGAAAAGGTAATGTTCACCATTCAACATCACTGTCTATGTCTTGTGTCAAATAACGTTAGTGTCCCACACTTATAGGATTTATACTTTGTGTCCGACATTGCAGTCACCCACACTTACCTCACGTGATCAGATAACCTGGCACAAAATGCCCGAGAGTTTAAATGTTGAATCATGGTTAAGTGTGTAAAAACTTGGACATCGAGACATCACGATAGCCCTGACATTTCCCTGATGCGACTTTGCAATACAGTATTCCTTAATTGTCTAAACCATTTTTGGCGAGAGATGACTATATCTCTGCATGGAACTCGGAAGCTTATTTCTTAGTAAAGAAAAATAAAATTATCAAAGTATTATTGGGTTCTTGATACACAAGTTATATTTTAATTGTCTGTTAAATATTTTTATATAAAAAAAATTTGTCTTGTGTTATACCCATGAAAAGTATAAAAATATTCACCCAACTCATGAATTATAACTGTTAATTATCTGAACACCCAGGAATTTCCTCAATATGTTGGGTGTTTTTGGGAGGGGGTGATGAAATATTGAAATAAACAGCTTGGAAGCCTGTCTGTAATTGTCTGGTTGCTTAGCAACACTGGAGTCAATCTAACAAATGCCGGGTATTAAACTATAAGCCTGCCATTCACAAAGAAATAACTCCCTAACTTTGTACAATAGAATAACAAGTTCTGTGACCTTTAATGAGAATTTCTTGACCTTTCACTTCAGATCACAGTACTGCGACCTTTGACCCTGGGGGAGTTACAGCGCCATCGCCGACAATTCATAGTGTACACGAAGATGCATCCAGTCAATGATGTAAACACACTCTGTAATATGTTTGTACAGTACCTAAATAAAGGCCTTCGATGACTTCAGCTTGTCAACTTTCTTTCTGTACTTTAAACATATGACTTTTATTAACTTTGAAGGTCACACATGTGAAAATATTACCGAAGTTCCTCAAAATAACCAAAATATGTATAGTGATGCTATTTAGACTAGTGTATAACCTGCTTGCTTTGACCCAGTTTGAAAGTGATACCATATTTGTAGTGCAGTGTGCTATGCATTGTAATTAGGCCATTGTGACCTTAATCTCAAGGTCAAAGGTCAAATAAGTGCAAACTTTTCCATTGTAACTTTCAAACTTTTAGGGTATTGTGACCTCCCACATCTTAACTCTTCTGATTAGCATATTTTTATTTTGCAAGGGAACGAAGGCCAAGAATATTGGCTAATAAGGGGAGACATATGTTTTTGTTAACAAGAAAAAAGATACAGTTTCAATCTTAATTCAATACCTGTTTTTATGCCAAAATCTCTAGGTTGAAGCTTTCTGAACAAGTGTTAAATTTCACCATAATATTAAAAATCATTTTTATGAGAATTGTAACATTTTCAGAGGAGTTGTTCACTTGTTGGACTGAAGTCAAACAGAAGGAATTAAAATGTCCAATATTCTTGGATAAGGCCTACTAAGCTGTTCTCCATCAACGCCCCCTGATACTGCTGTACCTTAAAGCCCTGTCACACCTAGCCTACTAAGCTGTTCTCCATTAACGCCCCCTGATACTGCTGTACCTTAAAGCCCTGTCACACCTAGCCTACTAAGCTGTTCTCCATTAACGCCCCCTGATACTGCTGTACCTTAAAGCCCTGTCACACCTAGCCTACTAAGCTGTTCTCCATCAACGCCCCCTGATACTGCTGTACCTTAAAGCCCTGTCACACCTAGCCTACTAAGCTGTTCTCCATCAACGCCCCCTGATACTGCTGTACCTTAAAGCCCTGTCACACCTAGCCTACTAAGCTGTTCTCCATCAACGCCCCCTGATACTGCTGTACCTTAAAGCCCTGTCACACCTAGCCTACTAAGCTGTTCTCCATCAACGCCCCCTGATACTGCTGTACCTTAAAGCCCTGTCACACCTAGCCTACTAAGCTGTTCTCCATCAACGCCCCCTGATACTGCTGTACCTTAAAGCCCTGTCACACCTAGCCTACTAAGCTGTTCTCCATCAACGCCCCCTGATACTGCTGTACCTTAAAGCCCTGTCACACCTAGCCTACTAAGCTGTTCTCCATCAACGCCCCCTGATACTGCTGTACCTTAAAGCCCTGTCACACCTAGCCTACTAAGCTGTTCTCCATCAACGCCCCCTGATACTGCTGTACCTTAAAGCCCTGTCACACCTAGCCTACTAAGCTGTTCTCCATTAACGCCCCCTGATACTGCTGTACCTTAAAGCCCTGTCACACCTAGCCTACTAAGCTGTTCTCCATCAACGCCCCCTCATACTGCTGTACCTAATTAAGTTATGTCAGTAAATCTAGAGAACACTGCCATTTGGATTTGTGGCTCTTTTGTTCAGTAAAATAAAGGACACTGAGTGTTCAGAACAGACACACTTTCATTGTTACCGATAACAAATAGTACTCTTTACTGTTACTATTATGGGCGGGGTGGTCGAGTGGTGGCCAGGGTTCGATCCCCGAAGTCGTCGTACACATGGAATATTCAGAGACAGTGTTTTTCTCCTCCCCATACAACTCCAACAACCTAGGTGGAGTATAAAATGGTCTGAGAAGGATGTTGCGGAATCTGTGCTGTATAGCATTCAAGTGAGGTGGCTCTATAAATGATACCGTTGGAAGCACGGTCCTTCTACAAACAGAACACAATACATCTCCATCACACACAAAGGCACACACACATAGGGAGATATTAGCCAGGTGGCATAGGACTAGTAGTTAGCGCCTGATAAGGCAGCTCCTGCGAATTCCTCAATTTAATAGTTGCATTGATTAATATATATCCTAATTGTATTAATTGTATATATATATGTACTGTAAAGCGCTTAAGAGTGGCTTATGTTAGCAAGATAGGGCGCTATATCAAATGTTGTATATTTATTTAGTTATTTTACTATACAGAGGTATGAACTTGGTATTTGAATTGAACAAATAACAGACAATTTAATTATGTACAACATTTTATTACCTCAAGTCTACAAATAATAACAAAACATACATAGCCCTCAAAGCATAAAGCATAAATAGTATCACAAAATGGGTTTCATGAAGAATAACCCAGAGAAATTGACAAACAAATCATATTTACAAAAACAAATTGTGCCAATGGCAGTGATAGTTTAAACCTGATGGTACTTTTGTGTACATCTTAATGGATTTATGCAAAGTACACAGCTTTTTTTGGTATACCCCTTGTAAACCCGAACGTAATCCCCAAGGAAGGGGTGGGGGGGGGGGGCCACATTCT